TCGAAGTGTCTGAATGATCTGCTGCTACTACTGCCACCACCATAATCACCATCACCGCCTTCGATTCTCATTTGTCAATTCTTAGTGAGAAACGACGAGATGACTGTAGCTATTGCGTCAAAAAGCGACCAAATAGCTTGTACGATATATTATTGAACCGATTCAATCAGTGTTTTCTGTGTTGAGTGGCTTTAGATTCGTGGTTACATGATTCGTTTGAAGACTGGAACAGCACTTTGCAGCACCTTAGTTGAGTAATCACTCCTTTTACTTGCAGGGCTGCGCGTGTCAGGTCCACTGTTGGGTCCGAATCTCGCTTTGGTGAGCTTGCTTTAATCAAATTTCTAATTTTCCATTGCTGTTAATGCTGTTGTCTGTGTTGTCAAATACAAGTTTACATAAACCCTTCGAAATTGTACACCCTTTCAAGTGCTTTACGGCTACCAGATTTAGACAGAATCATTTGTATTATTTCCCTTGTTATGTCTCGGCAACATTTATCATGCTGTTCTAATCGGCCTCTTTTGTTTTACTGTTTGTGTCGCTCGCTAGCCCCACTTTTGAATTCGTACACTCAGCGGGCTTTTTTACTACTTTTCGAGCTGCTTTTGTGTTACTATGGAAGCTATGTCGTCAGCACGAATGAACTATAACTTAGAAATTTAACATTGTTTTTAGTCAAAAACAAAGTTGACATTATAGACACAGAACAATCCAGGTGTGTTCTATCTTGGTGTCGAACAATGACTATTCATCTAGACTTTTCAAAGTAATTGCAATCACAGAGCAGGCCGTGGATGAAGACAAACGAGAGAACATCGGATGCATTAATCACGAGTCTTCCTCCGATAATGCCTAGCATCCTCTCTTCCTACTACGTAAAAGGTGGTTTTCAGTGACAAATCGTGGTGGGTAGTTGATACCGAAGCACTTTCACACACCATCCGTGGTAGGAGATAATCACGCTGTGGTGCTGGATCACAAACGTGCCTTTCTTTTGTGATTCTGCTCTGTATTAGGTCACAAGAAGTCCAACTCAAACAGCAGCAACATAGCCACAATAAACTTCACAAATCCTCACCATTTGAACTACTTTCTTCTTTAGGGGTCCGATTGTTCGAACAGTGCATCTTCTTGCAACAGCTGTTCAACGCCTGGTTCGCCTTTCCAAGTTGATTCAACTGGTGTCGGAAAGCAGCTTCAACCCAATGGCGCCACATTCGGCCTTCCACCAACCCCTCCTAATCAATTCGACGAAGTCAACGGCAACACCGCGTGTGCACCTGCCAATGGTAAGTCAGCCAACTACGCCTCATCTTGTCAGTGCAGGCTTCCGTGCCGGAAGTTGTACAGTGACTGTATTTTTTAAATTCAGCCAAGGTTGTACGAATCACTGACTGCATGAAAACTCGAGAAAGAATCAATTTTAGATACTACTGTCTTGTGATTTGTTGCAAGGAAGACCTTAACAGTAATTGTTATTTCCGATTCCTTTCTTTAGGTCATGTCGATAGTTATAAACGACCTTCGCTTCCCATACCGTAAGCTACAGTTTTACCACACTCTCTTGAAGCCCGTTTCACCTGATTTATAAAAACTGTTATGCTTTTTGCCATTTTTAGGCCTGCGTCGTCGTGTAATAGCTCGCAAACCGTTGTAGATGTAAGTAAAGTTTAAATAAATCAAAATGACCAAGTCTTAAAGGTCACGAACTGTAAACACTACTTCTTCAACCCTATTGGTCAGCACTGTCGAATCGAGAAACGGTCGCAGTTGATTGGTGGAAACATGCTGTTTTTTGAAACTTTTCCCTTGATGCACTTTCGCTGATCTCGTGGTTTGTTAGTTTTCCCCATAATAGTCACATGACAAGGTGTGAGCACTGCGTTAGCTCGTGTCCCAAAGCCATAACTCGGCCACTTGCATCCTTTCCCATCCCCTCATGGAATTAAAGGAGATGCACTCCAATCGAGTAACCATTCGTGATGCTTCTCTACACGTTAACCTTTTCTTCATCGTATTTTGGCTCATTTCACAACCAAGCGTTGTCCTTCCACCATAAAGCACACAGGACTTTTTCAATGTGTTTCATGTTGAAAAGGTCAGCATCATCGATTCTAACTGCATCTACGTTGATGTGGAGATGAAACTAGATGCCGCGGCCAAAATTGGAAAAGTGCGACATATGTTTGGATTACTGTTTCGTCATTCTTGTGACCGTTTAGTCAGCGTTCACGCCTGCGTAAAAGGCCGGAATGTGAGCTTTCCTAAAAGTGCCTTAATATGAACAATCCAGCTACTAAAATTAGCTTCATGTGAAAATCAAAATTCGGCTAAACAGAATAGTTTTTCGCATACGTAAACCGGCGGAATGTGTACGATTGGTACCAATGAAATCCATCTGCTGAATGCTCTACTGCGGTCAGAATTTTAACACAAAACTCACCTTCTGCTACCTTTTTTCAAACAGGTTCGAATGTCCTTATCTGGCCTGTTCAGACGTGGCAGGTGACAACGCCAGCACTGATCGTGCAATCGTGTTTTACTGCTGTGAAGTTGATAGAGCCGTTTATTTAAAAGACCACAATGAAGGTACACAACTCATAAAGATTGTGATCATCAAGATCAGGTTTTTGCGACAAAACACAGGTAGATTTCTCCACTCTTTGCCTGTGTAAACGCACAAAGAATGCAGGACATTGAATAGGGCTAGGCGTCGTACGGTTGATTGATTAAGCTGTCACTTCCATTTGAGGAATTCTTCTGAAAAACGGTCTTGTTAAACACATTAAACATATCGACCAGGATTGAATGGTTTTAACACAAACCTATCTTAATTTTCTACTAACAGAATCGTCTGTCTCGACTGGAGTCCGTGGAAAGCCAAGACGATCATCCAGCCTTCAACCGAACCAGCAGCGTATGTTCCGTTTGCCCTTTGTTTTAATTCCTGCAAACCACAATACGCGCCTCTACAAACAGGCTCATGTTTGCAAGTTGTTTTTATGTTCCGATTAAACCACTCATCGCTGCGAAAACCTTGTCAGCATTTCCTCACATTGAAACACAACATGAAGAGAATTCAAATGGACACGTGTTTTGATGTCTTCGCTCAAGGTAACTTGGTAGGCACTGCACAGTTTCGAGTGAACGCATGCTAATGAAGCCGTTGAAACAGTGATCAAGTAAAGAGTGGACATTTACGGACACGAAAGCTCCGTTTGACTGGAAACATAACAGTCAGAGTGAGTAGGAGAGATCTGCGTTCCGCATCAACCGGTCTTTA